CTCTGCTTTCTCGCTTGTGAATTTCCATGGCGGGATTAAGGATGTTTCTTCTCCGATCGATTTCTCCTCGAATCTTCGAGTTTCTTCTGGTAAATCTGGGAAACTATCGCTCTCTGTTCGCGCATCCAAGAGCTCAACCGCCGATGCGCTAAGCGGCGTGATATTCGAGCCGTTCGTGGAAGTGAAGAAGGAGCTCGATCTCGTCCCAACAAGCTCCAATGTCTCGCTCGCTCGGCATAAATACTCAGACGAGTGCGAATCCGCCATTAACGAGCAGATCAAGTATGATTTTCTCTCTCATTTCCATTTCTGAATTCAGAATTGAGAGATTCAGTATTGTAATCTGGTCGATTTTAGCTATAAGATTTGGTACTCGAACCTCATGTCGATTTAGCTATACGATTTGGTACTCGAACCTCATGTCGAGTATTTGGTACTCGAACCTCATATCGATTCAGCGTATAAGATTTGGTACTCGAACCTCATGTCGATTCTGATCGTATTTGTATTTGGCTGCAGTGTGGAATACAATGTCTCGTATGTGTACCACGCAATGTATGCTTACTTCGATCGTGATAACATCGCGCTCAAGGGTCTTGCCAAGTGAGTCTCTGGTTATTCAAAAGTGTTTTGTTAATGTTTTCGGATTTTTTTTTGTTTATTCGTAGTCAATTGTTTGGTTGCTTGGTATCAGATTCTTTAAGGAATCGAGTGTGGAAGAAAGAGAGCATGCTGAGAAGTTAATGGAGTATCAGGTCCGTCCGTTTTCTCTAACTCATAAGCCATAATTGGGAGCTTGTTAGGTTTCGAACATGTTTTTGTTTTGTTTTTGCCATGAATATTGCAGAACAAACGTGGTGGGAGAGTTAAGTTGCAGTCTATTGTAATGCCTCTTTCAGAGTTTGAGCATGTTGATAAAGGAGATGCTTTGTATGGTAAGTTCAAAAGTTTCTTGGTTTGTTTTTACAAAAAATTATCTGTAGTTTCATATGTTTGCTACTTTCGAAGTCATAAATTCTGGAGAAATTAGAAGTTGACACCAATGTTATGTTGATATATAGCTTTGAAGAGATTACGAGTTTCCATCATAAAGAATCGAATAGTATTAGTTCTTTAAGTATCATGAACATGTCTTATAAGGAGATTGATGCCTCATTGGAGGATAAGACTTTCCCTTGAGTTCTAAAATGGAACATATTTGTTGTTGCAGGCATGGAGCTGGCTTTGTCACTGGAGAAACTAGTTAATGAGAAGCTCTTAAACCTCCACAGTGTAAAAAACTATCTCTTATTGAATCCATCCTCGAGCTTTAAAATCCCAATTTTACGAGTACATTCTAAATTTCTACACTGCAAGAACTATTCTCAGTCTTGTAATGACTTGTTCAACAGGTTGCTTCGAAGAACGAAGATGTCCACTTGGCAGATTTTATCGAGAGCGAGTTCCTGAACGAGCAGGTAATTAATTTGGTGTTCTAATTATCAAGTAGCAAAGAAAATGCTTTCGTTTCTAAGCTGTCGAAGAGAATCTAATAGGAATTTCTCAGGTCGAAGCAATCAAGAAGATCTCAGAATATGTAGCCCAACTAAGAAGAGTTGGCAAAGGACACGGTACGTAATATAACCTACAATAAAGATATCAAAAACGCAAATCGATCCATTTTTTCATACTCAACTTCGTGCTTCAAACCCGGTTTTTTAATTTGATTGTTTTTAATGTTTGGTGGGTATTTTCAGGAACATGGCATTTCAATCAGATGCTTCTGGACCAGTAAGCTACGTAGAGAGGGATCAAGGTCTTGTACTACTCTTGTGTTGTGTAGTCTCTTTTCTACTATATGAGAGTCTCTTAAGTGATATGTATGGAACTAGTTTATGATTAGTTTTGCAGCTTTTATGAGATATGGCCTGTTCGTTTTTGGATCTAGAGACGCTTTCAAGATAAAATCTACTACTACAATGACATGGTATAATCGTAACAAACTTGCAATATCACTAACTACCTTGGCTTTAACAATATAAAGATAAGATTGAATAATCTTATTATGGACATTTAAGA